GTGAGGTACCCGCACGAAGGACCAAGCCTGGGAGAAGTCTGAGTACCCCATGAGCTGCTAGTACTTCGGCCTTTGGCCTAATTTTAAGTGTGGGGTGAGGAGATTATCTGGGTGACTTTCTATGCTATTTTAGTTGTGTTAGTTTAATTGAATATTTTTTTATTTTTTTAGGAAAACGAAAAAAAAAGATTGGACTTTTCCCGACGATGGATCTATTAGAAAATTTTCTTGAGGGATTTAAGTCTAAAGAAAAAGACAAAAAGATTTTCTGTTGTTAGGTAGTGTAGCAATTACCCCTTGGTTTTTCTTTGTGCCACGGTTCTTTTCCAAGGGTTTTGTTTGAACCGGGTGTAGTTAGTTTTATTTTTTTAAGAGTAGGAGCTAGTGTGAGATGAATTGAATTGCAGCGATATCTCTTAACTTTGTTATGCCTTGAGAATAGTAAGTACTCTGGTTGTGACGCTTAGGCTCAATTTTTGACTCTTGTATAAGTACCTTAAATTGTATAATCTTAACTTTGCTTAACTGCTTTGACTAGAGTGTCTTGATGAAACCAATCCTGAGTGAGCTATGTGCCATGTGTGTGTGAGGTTTGGGTGTTATTCTGTGCATTGCATTTGATGCCTAGAACTTGCACCGTGTGTTTGCAAAGCGAAATAGTAGTTTTGTTCAGTCTTGGAAGTGATATAGGCGTTTCTTTGTTGAGCCAGATATGTATATTTTACCCACCTAATTGTTATGTATTATAGTTAACCCTTTGAGCCTGTAATCCTGTTTCTTTGGCAACCACATTAAAAGCCTTACCCAATTGTTTGAATTAACCATCTATTTGAACCTTTTAACCTCTCATGAGCACTTGAATAGTTATGGACTTTGTAAAAGTTAAAGTGTGGGTGGTTGGTTTGGCTTTTGAGTGGAACTAATGAGATAAGGGGAAAGGTGCACTGTTTTGAAAAAGTAAGAGCCACTTGAATTGGAAAAGAAAAAGAAAAGAAAGAAAAAAATAGTTGTATTGCGTAAAAAATATTCCTTGATAAGTGGTGGCTCTTAATGTAAGTGTGCTTAAAGAAGAATGAAGTTAATATATAGTGATGTGAAGGAGGAGTTATGGTTTGACATAAGTGTGGGTTTTAAATGTTAAAGTGTATGTATTAAAGTGCTTAGGGAGGTGTAGTCATTCTTATATCCAAATATATCCTACCCGTCCCGCAGCCTACATTACAACCAAATAAAGTCCTACTTGATCCTAGACTGAATGAGCTCGATTAGTAGAGTAGTACACTACGGGTAAGCCTATGGTGCGTCTTTTGTGGCATATGAATGTTATTTCTGAGAATGAGTGAATTCTTTCTATCTTGAGTTCCTAAGTGTTCTTAAATTTTATTGTGTGGAACTACTCTCTTTTGCTGTGTGAGGGCACTCGATTCATGAAGGAGAGATAATGTCAGTGACCTTTATGTTAGAGTAAGTGAGTAAGTTGTGAAGATGTTACGCTTTTGTGCACTTGTGAGTTAAATCTTGAGGTGAAGATGTTACACTTTTGTGCTTAGTCTATTTTAAATATTCTTGGTGTGATGAGTTAGGAGAATTGTTTAAAAAAGGTCGTGTCTATATAAAGTGTAGTTTGATTGCTCGAGGACGAGCAATGATTTAAGTGTGGGGTGTTGATGATAGGCTATAATTACGTATTTTAGTCGATTATTACACTCTAATTTAGTGCACTTTAATTGAGTTTGCGCTTTAAACGCTAGTGTTTTGCACTAATTGTGTGTTTTATGCCTTGTAGGAGTGATTCCGAGCTATATAGATGTTATGGAATGAATTCAAGTGATTTGGAGCTCTGAAGTCTGAGTAAAGCCCAAGGAATTAAGCTGGGATCATGTTCAGGGGTCAAATTTGATAGTTAAGAACAAACGAAGACTCGAGTAGGCATATTGCGCACTGTCTAGTAAAATAGACATAACGCTTTGCTACGAACTCCATTTGGGCTATATAATATATGGTTGAAAAGCTAACTCAAAGGGATACAACTTTCATGTTTTACATTTTTCTAAAGTTCAAACGGAACAGGGTGAAAAACGCGGTCGAAACCGCGACAGCGAACCTGGACGCGGAGTGAGGCAGTGCACTGGAAAAATACCGCGCCCGGACCGCGAGCGTCCAGACCTGAAAAATTGTCCTTTTTTGCGTAGGAGAAGGTATAATTGTTTGGGCCCAACCCTACTTGGTATATATACATGAAAAAACGGTATTTTGAGGAGGTTGGACACGCTTTTGACACAGATTCGACCTAAGGAGGCAGAGACACAATAGGAGCAAGGCGGGAAATTCTTCTACGAGTTTTTCCTTCCTCTTCCTATTTTTTCATTGTTGGTTATGACTTTTAGTATTGTAGTTTTGCATACTATTATGAATAGCTAATTTGTTATCTAGGGTTTTGATTGAACCTTTTGTAGGATAAATTCTTGTTATGTTTTTATATAATTGAGCCGTTGGATTTCTCTACTTGTTCAACTACGTGTTTATTGTTGTTGATTGAATGACCATCGATTGACTGTGCCTATTTATTATGTGTTGTTTGAGAAATGATACATATTTAGGTGGTTGTTGAACAACGTCACTCCTAACGTATGTGAGAAATCAATACAGCGGGTTTAAAGGCAGATTTAGAAATAACAAAGCCTTGACGTGGTCACAAACTCATCTAAAACTCAGAATTATTACAATTCTTAAATTAGATAAAAGTAACAAAGTTCTAGTTATTAAATTATTTATTTAATGTATATAGTGTTTAAAAGGCTTTTTTGGGACTCGTTCGGGGTTCGCCGTCCCTAGACATGGCACTATTCAAAAAGCCCTGAAGCTCACATGTGGAGCTTAGTTCTGTGGGCTTATGCCCCAAAGTGTCCGACTGTGCATCCAAAATACGCATAATGCTTAATGGTCATGGCTTGTCCAATAGTTCCTACTCAAATCATGTGTCAAATTCTCTAATTAATACTATTAATGCTTAAAATTCTTTAACAAAGTATTGATTGAAGTTTTATTCGAGAATAACTCAAATAACGAGCCATATAATTGCATATTTACTAATTGAGAATATTGTGAATGTGAATATCATCGGATTATTTCTTCTAAATTAGATAGTCAAAATTTGTATCTTAGTGCTATTGGTCTTCATGTCTTAAAACTATTAGGCTTTTATTGTTTTGCTCTTTGAAAGTAATTTTGTATAATATAATTTAAATTATAGTATTGATGAAATTTCCTGATTAATTACTTTTAGGGAGGTAAAACGTACAGCTTGATAATTTATAAAGAAATTATAATTTTTTAATTGTTAGAAAGTTAACACGTTATAGTTGTATCTCATAGTAACTTTAACAGTGTCGTATTATTTATATTTGTAAAAACTAGATTTTTTTTTGTGAGTTTCTTTATTTTCTTTTTTAATTTTTTAAACTTTAATATACTTTCTATTTTTTTGTTTTACTATGCGTAATTTGTAAATTAAAAAATTTAAAGATACATGGGGCTTACGCCTCGCACCCTAGTAAAATGGCTCGTCTTACACACCCGTCTTTGAAAATACTATTTGAACGTAGAACACCTGCTATGATAAAAATAAAGAAAATCCGCTTGGTTAGTATTACAAATATCTATATCCCTTTAAAATTTAAATTATCTCAAACAAAATTAAAAAAGAATCAAATGTTTGTGCAGATAATTACAAACTTGGATGTCTATCCTGCAACTGTTGTCATCTGATGTGTAGTCGTTACCTATGAATGCAGATATTATTTATGGTTAATCTAAAGCATATTTTTATCGTTTATATTTAGGCCTCGTCAACCCTACATTTTGTTCCTTGAGACTCACTGAGTACCTGATGTATTCAATTCTCTATATAGTTGTCTTCTTCTTTGGAGACAAGTATCGCTTGTGACAGCGAGACTAGCTTGAATCAACGATCATTCCTTGCTTTTGTTGAGCCACACCTTAACTTTTGTGATGGCTCATTTTGCATTATTCTTTTGTTACCCAATGTTGTGGTCCAACGTCAGTCACATTTTTTTTTTGCACCTAAAAGCTCATTTTACTCACGTGGTTAGAAATTATGTTTAGTATTTATAGGTAGATATTTCGTATAATATGTAAATAAAGAACCTCTGAGGAAGAAATGAAATAGAAGTCTTTATTTATTTTTTGCTAAAGATAGAGAGACGAATTAAAGAAATGCACAAAGACAATAAAAGAAAACTAGCGAGTAAGACATAGAGAAATAATGGAAGACCTCGTATCATCTTTTTGCAGTTGAAGAAAGTGAGGAGAAAAAGATTACAAATTCTAGAAGGTATAAATATTGACGTAAATTGCATTAATTCACAGAATTTTAACTAAAATATGTAATTTGATTAAATTTTATTGAAATAAGGTGGAAAAAATAAATAAAATGTGCATGAGTTAATAATCATTAATTTGTATCTGAATTGCGACAATTTCTCAAACAGTTGAAATTGATATATTTGTGGAGGTTACCAAAAACCTTCACAAAGTAACCGCCATAATAAGAACAATTTTGAGAAGGTTGGAACAAACGCCACGAATTGAATTTATAGTGGGGGCCCTTTACAACCCCACACTTAAACCGCCACAATAAAACTATATTGTGGGGGTTGCTCAAACGCCACAAAAAAAACCTATAGTGGGAATTTTTTATTACCCCTATTAGTAAATTGCCACAATTTGACAATTTTTTTTGTAGTTTTTTGGTATAATTTTTGATTATCTCAATTTTAGTTTTAAAATATTGAGTTGATTTAATCTCATTTAACTTTAAAAATTAGTTAAATTGATTCAGTAAGAAAAGTAGCAAGACAACTAATTTGGAATGGAAGGAGTATATCTAGAGGATGGTAGAATTATTTTTCTAGCTGGACAAAACCCTGGAGTATTTACAACACACTCACCTACTTTTCTGAATCCATCTAGACCAGGAAAAAACAACAACAAAGTAGTAATATAATGACCAAACGCCATTTACATATAGCAGTGCACAAACATATATATATGAATTACATTTTTAGCACTTAAAACCATAGGGAGAGCCCTTCAATATTCAGTACAACCATTAGGTAATTTCCACATGAAAAGTCTATGCTAGTTCACCATATAACTGGCGTTAATTAGTCTTCCAGTACAAACCCTAAATTACTAAGGATCCTTTAGTTAAACTGCAGATAGTGGAATTAATATTAACGCTACATTCTTTCATGTAGGTTTGGCTGCATTGGCTGAACTCGCAGGGCAAAGGGCATCTGGTACTCGTAATCTCTGTCTCTTTGATGGTACACTTCTTCTTGAATTACTCTCATGTTTCCGCCCATGGCTGCCATCTCCTTTTGGTGCTGTTCCCAAATTGATACTAATTAGTTGTTCTTAAGTCATTTGTTCACCGTAATTAAACAAAATCTACCAAGTTACAATGTCAAATAGAGAATGAATAGCCAATTCAAAGCCAAAAAAAAAGGCAGCGAGCTGCACTAAGCTCCCGTTATGCTCGGGGTCTGGGGATCGGAAGGGCTGGACCACAAGGGTTGCGCAGCCTTATCCTACATTTATGCAAGAGGCTGTTTTCACGGCTCGAACCCGTAATCTCCCAATCACATGCATGGCAGCAACATTACCAGCGGTTGCGCCAAGGCTCCCTTTCACATAGCCAAAAAATATACCCCTAAAAATGAAATCTCTACTATCGGAAGTAGAGAGATGTAGCTACTATATATCTTTTTGTCACTAGTGGCTTTGATTTGTTGGCTAATTTTCCTTGAATAAGTAGTAGCCACAACTATTTCAGAAAGAAAGAATTTGAAAAATATAATAGTGATAAAATTAATTTTGATAGTTTTTCATGTTTGTACATGTACATGTGGCAAGTGAGATTGTCGTGACTTACCAAAGCATATTGAAGTTGCTTATGTTCCTCCTCCAGAATTTGGTCCTGAATTATTTCATCTCACAAAATTAACAAGATATTAGTAACTATACTAGGTCCAAAGTGCTACTTATGATTTCATTCACCAGTGCATATAAATAAAATTTGCATACTTACATTTTTCCTGACCATCCTCAAGATCTCAGACTGTGTTGTAAGCAATTGAAAAAAACCAAGAAAAAAGAAAGGATATCAAAGCTGTCTGCTTTTGATAATTGGAATTACAAAGTAAGACATATAATTATTGATAAAAATTAAAGATAAATTACCTGTTTGGCACTGATGCTAGAAAGCCCATTTTGTAAGGCTTCTTCCATAACCATAAGCTCTTTGTGGTTCAGAGAATTGATATCTTCTCCTTTAAGGTGCCTGGAAATTAATATACTTTTACTTAATCGAGGGAGGGGAATATACAGAAGAAGTTAAAATATAAAGGAGAAAAAAAGAGAGAAATATAAATTTACCTGAGCTTAACCTGCATACTGTCATTCTCTTTCTTGATTCTATCAATTTCATTGCTCAAGTTCTGTATTAAGTATTCCCATTTATTCACGAAGCACAAGAGTAAGTATTGTTACTGGATGCGAATATTCAAGCTGAGGTGACAAATAACTCTATGCAACTGTGTTATTTAATTTGAACTTGTTTCAAAGATCATATTGTACCCTTTTCATCAAGTAGCAAAAGTGCTGTTACAATATCGGAAGACACTGATTTTGCAAGGTACAAAAAATTGGTAATAAGCTAAGTTTTTAAAGAATTTTATTAATATATTAACCAAAAAATTGAGTAATTTTACAAATAAATATAAAAAGAGAAATTAGAAAAAGAGATAGAGATAGAGAGCTAGCTAGGGGGAGCAGTGGCATAACCGCATACATTGAAGGGTGGTCAATCGAACACTCTTCATTGAAAAATTATAACGTGTATATATACAAACTTATATTACGTATATTATTCAAAAAAAATATTTTTTATATGTGTATATTAAATTTTGAATATCCTTCGCAAAATTCCTAGGTTCGCTATTGAGGGAGGGGATCGGATGATTTGTGTTATTTTTCCGGATCTATTAATAGATGTAAAATCTCATACAGGGTTTTGTGTTCTTTATCCTTAAAGAAGCAGAAACAGCCATGATATTCAGCAGAGATAGAGAATTGAAGTTGAGACATCTAGAGAGAGAGAGATCATTAGAGAGGGGAAAAAAATTGAGACATCTAGAGAGAGAGAGAGAGGTCGCAGCTACACATCCTATTTGTAGATCTGCTCCTAGATTTCATGTTTCAAGCCATTAGACATAATTTTAGCAAAAAACCATATCTTATTCCACGGGAAAAAAGCCAGAATCTAGCTATACTTTCTAGAGAAAAACATGGACACAAGGGTGTTTTCAATTTCGATCTCTACTCAAATTAAAGTGAAAACTACCTCATGCTTAGCATCCCATAGCCTCCTCCCAGAAGTTTTTTGATACCCATCAAGCATATCAGCTATCCTGAATAAGCCAAAAAAAAAAAAAATACAAATAAATTATAATTTCAACAAGAAGAAGATAAACTTTTTTTTTTTAATTTGAAAAAGAAAAAAAAAAAGGAAAACCATATATATAGAATTAGGGTTTTCTCTTTGTGGGTTTCAACTGAAAAATTAATTAAAGAGATGACTTACGTAGTAGAAGGGCTACAATATTCATGCATCTTGCCAGAATTACCAAAAATGATAAGGGAAACCTTGGCATCACAAAGAACTGTGATCTCTTTAGCTTTCTTAATGATCCCATTTCTTCTCTTGGAGTAAGTCACTTGCCTGTTGCTTGAGTTCTCTATTCTCTTTATCTCTATCTTTCCTCTCCCCATACCTACAATATCCAACTATCTCTTCTTCTTGAAATTAATTAGTGGTATTGAAAGTGAGGAATATGTGATTTAATTTGATTAAAGAGGAAGAGGAAGAAGATATATAGGAAGAGAGAAGAAGAAAGTAATTAATGGCATTTCTATTAGAGGTTTGCCCGACAAGAAACTTTCTATGTTCTCAGCAAAGTAGGTTTTTTTATGGGCATTTGACAATGCCAAACCACTGTTAAAAATCCTGTCCTTTGATTCTTGCTTTACTGGCTTGCTAATCAAACATTCAAAACCTCTTAGCTCTCTGTTACACTTTTTTATCCTCAGGTCTCTCCTTAATTTCTCTTTTCTAAACAAGTGTTAATGCTGTAATTACTACCAACCAATATATTAATTATAATTTTAGAGTTCAAAATAAAGAATTTTTATAATAATATCACCACGGTTTTTATAATGTTAGTAATATTGACCAAAAGCGAAAGATAATATAATAACTCTAAGAAGCTCGTCGTAAGAACACAAGGTAAAAAAGAAAACTTCGTCTGAAAAGAATTAACTTATATATTCATTGATTGTTTAATTTCTTTTTAATTATCATAACATTTTAACTGATGTGACCTGCTATAAACCCCAATTGAGAATGACAATTTCTATTATATTGGAAGCAAGTGAATTATTATGAACGAACACGTTAAAGAAGTCAAAAGAAATGAAAGAATTTTTATGCGTTAAGTCAATACAAAAGAAAAAGAGATTAATAATCTTAAAACTTTCATGAGATTGGATGACATGAATTAAAAAGAAGTTAAGAGGAGAAAAGACTTCAGAATACATACATGTTTACTCCTATGCAAAGTTTTAGTATTAAGTACAAAACTAGGGTTGTAATTTCTTTTGTACGTGTCAACGGTCTTGTCTTTGTATGGACAAAGCGTAAAGACGCAGAATGTAATTAGTTGGACAACTTTCGTATAAATTTGAATAACAGCAAGGGGTCTTGTCTAAGTTTTGAGTGATCAAACCTTGAATAAAGGAAATTAATAAAATCTTAACCATCAAATCAAAATCAAAATCAAATGTTCTGTCTTGTTATAGCTAGTGACTGCTATAGTGAGTTTGAAAGGGTCAAAGTGAGAAAGCAGTGACACGAAAAATTTCTTAAAATGTCCCTATCCATCAGAGGAAGAAAATTCTCAGTCAAAATTGCTCAAGAAATCAAAAAAAAGACCAAGGATGTAAAATGTAGACCTAGGTATTTAGGTTTTAATTGATGTCCCAATGTTTTCATTGGTTTTTGGCAAAGACTCAATCATTTGCCTTGTGGACAATTTTAAGTGTGTTGGTCAAAAAATTAGTCTAGACAAAGAAGTTGATCTTCGGCTTCTTGGAAAAGCAAATATTGCGTGGAGATTGTATATTCCATTCTCTTTTTGTAATAAAATTATACTAGTCCTTACAAAGTAGGAGTTTAGATAATATTTGGTTGAATTTACTTCAAAAAGTATTTTAATTTGTAGTTGAAGAAGAATATATATTTCGAAGTTGAACGAAAAAATTGTACGGGGCGCTTTATTTGTTCGTTCCCATTTAACCTATACCTATTTTTTAAAAAAGTTTTAACTTGTACCCACTTTTTAAACAACTTCAGCCCTCCTCCTCCTCCTCCTCCTCCTCCTCCTCCTTCTTCTTCTTCTTCTTCTTCTTCTTCTTCTTCTTTCTTCTGCTGCTGTTGGTGCTGCTATGAAACTTCAGTTCATGGGATGATTGCCATAAATATATTTATCAAATTATTTAAAAATAAATTATAAATAATTACGTAAGTTAGTAGACAATAATTTGTGAATATTTCCACGTAGGTAAGTTAGTAGACAATGATAATTCTGTTCTTTTCACGTTTATTGTTTCCAAAATTTATGATTTAGATACTGTTGGCAATCTGATTATTTATCTAGTATGTTAGAAAGCTTTTTCAAAAACTTCAGCCTATATAGTGCTGAAATTTTTACAAATGAACTAAATAACTTCGGCATCTTCTGCTGAAGTTTTTGAAAAAGCTTTATGACAAAACTAATGAATCCAAGACAAAAAAGCTTCAGCTTTTAGTGCTGAAGTTTTTACAAATGAACTAAATAACTTCAGCATCTTCTGCTGAAGTTTTTGAAAAAGCTTATCCAGGACAAAAAAATCTTCAGCTTATTTAGTGCTGAAGGATTTATAAATGAACTAAATAACTTTAGCATCTTCTGCTGATGTTTTTGAAAAAGCTTAATGACAAAACTAATGAATCCAGGACAAAAAAACTTCAGCTTATTTTTAGTGCAATTACAAACAAAAACTTCAGCAAATAGAGAATAAAACTTCAGCTACTATGCTTAAGTTCAGCAATTACAAACAAAAACTTCAGCTACTATGCTTAAGTTCAGCAATTACAAACAAAAACTTCAGCAAATAGAGAACAAAACTTCAGCTACTATGCTAAGTTCAGCAATTACAAACAAAAACTTCAGCACACTTGGTTCAACACACTTGCTACTTCAGACCCGTCTATTAGAATGCTGAAGTTTTGCGTGTTTGCCTTTGCTACTTCAGCCCCGTATGCTGAAGTTACGCGAAAATACGCTTGCAATTTTTTTTGCAAAGCGGGCACAAGTTAAAACGTGACCCAAAAAGCGAGTATAGATGCAAATCCCCCAAGTTGGGGCATTTGCATCTATACCCGTTTTTTGTGCCACATTTTAACTTGTGCCCGCTTTGCAAAAAAAATTGCAAGCGTACCCGTTTTTTCACATAACTTCAGCCCACAGGGCTGAAGTTTTTCTTTTGTACTGGAAAACTTCACCTGAAGTTTTTGTCTTTGTAACCGGAAAACTTAAGCTCTAGAGCTTAAGTTTTCCAGTTATAAAATAAAAACTTAAGCTCTAGAGCATAAGTTTTCAAGTTATAAAATAAAAACTTAAGCAGTTTTCCAGTTATAAAATAAAAACTTAAGCAGTTTTCCAGTTATAAAATAAAAACTTAAGCTCTAGAGCTTAAGTTTTCCAGTTATAAAATAAAAATTTAAGCTCTAGAGCTTAAGTTTCCAGTAATAAAATAAAAACTTAAGCTCTAGAGCTGAAGTTTTTCTTTTGTACNCAGTTATAAAATAAAAACTTAAGCAGTTTTCCAGCTTAAGTTTTCCAGTTATAAAATAAAAACTTAAGCAGTTTTCCAGCTTAAGTTTTCCAGTTATAAAATAAAAACTTAAGCAGTTTTCCAGTTATAAAATAAAAACTTAAGCAGTTTTCCAGCTTAAGTTTTCCAGTTATAAAATAAAAACTTAAGCTCTAGAGCTTAAGTTTACCAGTATTAAAATAAAAATTTAAGCTCTAGAGCTGAAGTTTTTCTTTTGTACTGGAAAACTTCAGCTCTAGAGCTGAAGTTTTTGTCTTTGTAACCGGAAAACTCCAGCTCTAGAGCTTAAGTTTTCCAGTTATAAAATAAAAACTTAAGCAGTTTTCCAGCTTAAGTTTTCCGGTTATAAAATAAAAACTTAAGCTCTAGAACTGAAGTTTTTCTTTTGTACTGGAAAACTTCAGCTCTACAGCTGAAGTTTGCCAGTTATAAAATAAAAACTTCAGCTCTAGAGCTGAAGTTTCTATGTTGTAACTAGGAAACTTCAGCTCTAGAGCTGAAGTTTTTGTCTTTGTTTCTTGTACTGTTTCTTGTACATTCATCAAAGGAATTACATGGAAATATCTAGCAATTTTTGGCGGATAGTCTTGAAATATCATGTTTAAGTAGCTACATATTATTTCCCGTTAAAATTTGTTAGAATGGTCAATGAAAATCTGACGATTACATATCGTGCAAAGCTAAATCCAGAAAATCTATCTTCTTCAGTTACCGCAAAGCATGAAACTAGCAAGTTCCAATCTCATATTCTATTTGTAAAGGCTTATCTCAAACACTAACTACAGTGAAGAGCAAGAACTGTGGTATTGAAGAAAAAGAAGAAGAAGAAGAGGATAAGGGGAGGAGAAAGGGAAGTTGAAGTTTTTTAAAAAGTGAGTACGGGTGCAAACAAAAAACAAAGCGGCTACAGGTTAAAAAGGGGCGCCCAAATAGAGCGCCCCGTGCAATTTTTACGGTAGATATGGGGAAAGTGCACAAATACTCGATTTGGGGCTACTGTTTAAGTTGTACCCTAAATTTAATTTAATTTTTATAAGTTTACCCACTTCAAACACAACTTCAGTCTACACGACTGAAGTAAGTTAGGAATTCACAGTCATATATTGTGACTTCATTGTATGCACAAAATTGGTTGTACTTAAGACGCATACGTCTTAAGTATATTTTAAGTGAATTTTTACATCTAAGACATTTTAGTTTGAAGTACAGCCAATTATTAGCATGCACTTAAGACGTTTTCGTCTAAAGTGCAAAAATTGTACCTAAGATGTACTTAAGACATTGCAGTCTAAAGTGCAAATTGTCGAGAAACATAAACTTGTTCTTCAAATTGTAATAATCCAACACACAATTTAACGTCCAAATATACTTCAAATAAGCTCAAATTTGAAATATAACTTTCAAATATTAAAACAAGCTTCAATCATCAACTGTCAAAATAATAAAAAATCTAACAAACACATTTTGCAACTAAGAAAAAGAAAAAATCCTAAGCAATAGCAAAGAAAGGAGCGCTACAATACCTCACTACTGTAAAATACTATAAAATATCTTAAACCTACTCACAAACACCATGTAAAGCCCATTTATCACCTTTTGTTTCACAACAACTAAGAAGAAGAAAAAAAAAGAGAGAGGAAGAGGAGGAAAAGCAAAGAAGAAGCAGCTTATTTGAAGTTATCAGTACTTTAGGTACCAATTAAACTTTTATTTTTTAAAAGTGAGTACATTTAAGGGGCGGCCAAATAGGATGGTCGTAGTTTTATTACAGATATCCAGTAGGTCCATTGACATCTTAGTCCATTTGGTTTAAACATGTTTTTCCAAAAAAAATAAAATAAAGAGAGAGAGATTGTCAAAAAGAAAAGACTACTTGTGCAATTTCGTTAAGGAATTTTACTTAGCTATACTACTTTTTAAACTTATT